GGTTTCTCTTCGGTTCTCGCGCAGTCTTCGCGAGAAGCTCGACGAGGGTTCGACTCGGGTTTTCATAAGCTTTTCTTTACGTTTAGTTTATAATTTCTCGTGTTCTTCATTTTGATGCTATGTTTGTAATGAACTGAGCATTTTCTTCTAGGGAAATGAAACCTTGTATATATTGATTTTGATTTCCAGATCTGTGATCTATTTGTCGTTCTTTGATTATGTTTATGTTTTCTTGTATTAAATGCTTTCGATTGTTTGGCCAACAATTGAATTGATTCTAAATGGGAATGAACTCGAGAAAGGATTTCTCGTTTGATTTTAGGAAAGCATAGCTCGGGTTGTGGAAACGGAGACGTGATGCACCTCGGGTAGCCCTTAAGGACTTGACCTAAATGCTCTCTTAATATCAGGTTCTGAACGGAGACGTCGGACCTGTGGGTAGACTCTAACTACACTGGAGACGGGGGTTAGGGTACTTTAGTGTCTGGGTTAGCGAACATAGAATTGACAATAGATTCGGATTTGTAGATCTTTATCGATAATACACTGGTGGATTTTACCCTAGAAGCCATCACACGTCGGAATTCCTCGCGTATACTGGCGGACCGTTGTTTTTATTATTTTTGTTTCCTTTTGGCTTCATGTCATCTCCCATCTTTTTCTCCCGTCTAGATAAAGTTTAGGATAGTATAATTACGGTACTTGGTAGATTTAGGAACTTAATTCCCTGTGGATCGATATCTGGAATTCACTATTCTACAAAACGCGATACTGTACACTTGCGGTTTTTCATACGTAGGTTTTACGCGTATCAAGTTTTTGGCGCCGTTGCCGGGGAATTAGTTAATCTTGAATTTACTAATATCGTTACCAACTATCCTTACTTTACTTTAGACATTTTTTTTCTTTTGATTTTTTTTTATTTGTATAGCAGATTTGTATACATCGATGGCCTCGATTTATGATCTCTCTCTTTGCAAGATTCAATCCAGAGCTTATTACATTCAACATGAGTTGGAGGATATTGAAAGACATCGAAGGTTGAACCCAGAAAATGGAATTGCACAAACAAATGAGCACTTCTGCTATCTACAAGAAGAACTCCACTTTTTGGCAAATATTTTCGAAAATTTTCAGAGATGTCACATTCATAAACCACATCCGACCATCCTTTATGAAGACAACGAGGTATTTACAGATTTTCGTATGAACGATGAGGTTGAGCACCTTGAGGGAATTATTCATCCCAGTTCTGTAGATACTTTTGCGTGTGATGAGAGTGAGATGAAGATGATGGTAGAGGAACTTGACGAACAAAATCCTATCCATATTGTAACTCCGGATTTGATTGTGACCGAGGAGATGAGTATCAAATTCGAGGTAGAGCTTACTCCAAAGCTCGAATATCTTGTGTACGAGTTTGAGAGATCGGTAGGCAAGCAACCCGTCCTAGTCTCCTACCGACTGATTTCCCAAGTAAACGAAAAGTACCATGGGTTGGGATGGTCATTACAAGATTGCAATCTAGTCCATGATATGATTGCAAAGTATGTTTCAAGACTGATGGATGGATGCGCAATCTACAAGGCTTTGGATTGGACATAATCCGTCCAAATTGTGTCGAGCCGTCGACAGTAAAACAGGAGCTGAATGGGAGGCAACCCATTATTTATTTCTCGTCATTTATTTTCTTTATTTTTGTCGTTTTTGCATTTTTTTTATTTTAAAGCTAAATTTCACCCATTTTTCTTGATTTTTGCCGGTATCTCGTCCCCAAGGAAAGAAGAGTAAGAAGTCGGGAAGTCTAGACAATTTCGGCAATTCGCCCTCGGTGCCAAAATTCACGGCACCCCGTGCAACCAAAGAACACTTTCGCAACCGTAGAACACTGATCAATCTGCGGCACGACTGTTCAGGGCGTATTTCTTTCTCATTTCTTTTATTTTTCGCATTGAGGGCAATGCATGATTTAAGTTTGGGGGGAATTTAGCTTATTTTGATTTGGTCTTTTGCATGCATATCATATAATTTAGTTTCATTTATGTATTTCGATTTCCGTAGTTGTGTTATGTTTGTCACATGCATTTCATTTAGGATCGAGTGTAAGTTGCATTTCCGGTTTCTATTGAAGCAAAGCAATTAATGAATTAGTAGATGGGCTAGTTGATTTTAAAATTGAAATTATGGATAAACGGCTAATTATAGATGTACCTTCCGACTGCGTTTTTGCAACTTGTGTGGATAGCCTTTCGAATCCTTTCCGATTAAGCTTGAGCGCACTTTTCTGAGGGGTATAATAGTCTGAGGTTTGGGGGGCGAGTTAGAATTGAATTATGTGTTCACGATTTCCAGTTGTTGGCTAAAAGTTCTATCAACGGTCTTTACGTTTTTATTTTATGTTCGATGTTAAAAAAAAAAAAAAAAAAAAAAAAAAAAAAAAAAAAAATAATAATAATAATTTGTGGTATTGTTGTGATTCACGCTCTGATTTCCCCGCCTTTCTGACTCGAGCTTAACCCGTTGGGTGCACCTCGTCGCCTAAGTCTCTCGAGCTGTCGAGCTTGGGGGTTTCTTGGAATAAAGTTCGATACATGGGTCAGGGAGATAACACAGTGGTATCGAGCCTTGCACGAGTCACGATTATACCCGTAAAAAAAAATGAAAAAAGGAAAAAGTTGTGATGAAAATCACCAAAAATATTGTTGTTGTCATTTCTTTTATTTGAATAAATAGACCTACTTATGCCAAACTCGAGTTTTTGAATTTCTGAATCAAAACTTACTTTTCACCCACATTTCTACTCAAAACCCTCGATAATTGTGTTTGTTGTTTAATTACGGATTCTTGAGTCTATCTTTCATTTTGGTGTAGAAACAACTAATTGCGTCGGTAAGAAAGTCGAATACCTTAAGCCGTATGCCATTCTAAGATTTTAGGTTATCTAACTCGTTTCATCTTTGGAATTAATTGCAATGCTTTGACCAATCCGGCAACTTTGTGGGTGTGTTGTCTGAAAACCCTCACGAGACACAACTCGTCCTTTGGGGGTACCCAGGGGTTCAAAGGCTTGTTGCATGCGCTAAATGCAATCGTGATTCCCTACGTTAGTGGCCTAGGTTTAGTTTTTCTTTCGTTTGTCGTTTTTGTTTTTGGGTCATAGTTTTGTTTTGATTTACTCGGGACGAGTAAAGATCTAAGTTTGAGGGTGTGATAAGTGTTCGTTTTGCACAACTTTTACTTATCTAATCTTCGTGTTTTGGTCTTCATTCGTACGAGTTTTCGGCTTTATTTGTATATATTATGTTGTTTTTGTTTTATTTATATTTTAGGTAAAGATAAGCTATTTTTGCCGATTCGAAACGATTTTGGAAGCGAAGCCAAAAATCAAACCAAACATGTGCAAAAGTGCATTCTCGCGGATTGTGGCAGTGTTTGGTATTTCAAGCATAACGTTTGCATACGACCTCCGATTGAGCTGATTCAAGTGGCCTTAGATAGCTAACTTCAAGGGCTACAACTTTTGTGAAATGCATAATTGTCAAATTCGGGCGAAAAATGGGTGAAAACAGTGTTTGAAGTTGATGCAGAGGCCAGATCGCGATCCAGAAACACCGGATCGCGATCTGGTGGCGAATTCCAGTAGCAGCGAGAAATTGGGGCAGATCGCGATCCGCACTTCCTGGATCGCGATCTGGGAAGGCGGTTCACAGTTTTCAAGGTTGCCAGATCGCGATCCAAGAAGCCCAGATCGCGATCTGGGCACAGAAATCGAGACTAGATATTTTTCTTTGATTTTTCACTATAAATAGAAGGTCTCCTTTTCATTTTTCGATATCTCGATTATATCTCAATTATCTCTCGACTTTTCTTCGGTTTTCTCTTCGGTTCTCGCCAGTTCTTCGCGGGAAGCTTCGACGAGGGTTTCGACTCGGGTTTTTCATAAGCTTTTCTTTACGTTTAGTTTATAATTTCTCGTGTTCTTCATTTTGATGCTATGTTTGTAATGAACTGAGCATTTTCTTTTAGGGAAATGAAACCTTGTATATATTGATTTTGATTTCCAGATCTGTGATCTATTTGTCGTTCTTTGATTCTGTTTATGTTTTCCTGTATTAAATGCTTTCGATTGTTTGGCCAACAATTGAATTGATTCTAAATGGGAATGAACTCGAGAGAGGATTTCTCGTTTGATTTTAGGAAAGCATAGCTCGGGTTGTGGAAACGGAGACGTGATGCACCTCGGGTAGCCCTTAAGGACTTGACCTAAATGCTCTCTTAATATCAGGTTCTGAACGGAGACGTCGGACCTGTGGGTAGACTCTAACTACACTGGAGACGGGGGTTAGGGTACTTTAGTGTCTGGGTTAGCGAACATAGAATTGACAATAGATTCGGATTTGTAGATCTTTATCGATAATACACTGGTGGATTTTACCCTAGAAGCCATCACACGTCGGAATTCCTCGCGTATACTGGCGGACCGTTGTTTTTATTATTTTTGTTTCCTTTTGGCTTCATGTCATCTCCCATCTTTTTCTCCCGTCTAGATAAAGTTTAGGATAG